CCCAGACGGCTGGGTCGCGCGGGCGGGTCGTTGTAGCGTCAGTCCTGCGTGTATCGCGAGGAAGTCTCCAGCGATAGTGCGAGCCCCAAGTAAATCGCAAGGATGTCCAAAGCGACAGCGTGACTCCTGAGTGTCGAGAGCGCGGCGTGTTGATACATCGTGAAGAAGGTCAGCGCGAGAGCAAAAGCGCCTTCAGAGGATCGCCGAGAGGGCCCAAGAGGCCCAAATCATCCCATTCCCCAGAAAAAAAACTGCATGTTCAAAACATTTGCATTCTACGTTTGGACCGCGAACACGACGGCCCAATTGGCCACCAAGATCGCCCGAAGACGGCCCACGATGCCTGCAAGACGGCCCCAAGACGGCCCAAGAGGGCACAAAGGCAGCCCCAGGGGCCCCCCAAGACGGCCCAAGACAGCCTCTGGAGGGCCCCAAGAGGCGTCTAAGAAAGCCCAAGAGTTGGAACACGAACTGACATTTCGAGCCTTTCCCACCGAGATGGCCCCTCGAGCCCCCCAAGAGGCCTGCACGAGGCCCCAAAAAGCCTCCCACATGCCCCCGAGAGTTCTCCAAGAGGCCCCAGAGAGGCATCCCAGGAGAAACCCTCATATTCATCCAGGAGCCTCTTGACCCAAGATATAACTTCCACGATCGTCTCAAACACTCACTCCTTGTGGGGGTCGGCGGAGTGTAATAATCCACTTGATAAGTATACACCGGACTCACTTCTATAGCGCTCACTTCTATAGTGCTCACGTTGAAATTGTGGTCCGGAAGGGGCCGCACATGCAGGCACATGCCGCACAGTCGCATGCACATGCCCATGCAAATATACAAAAGCCTCAACAGCATTGCCGCACATGTGCGCACATGCCACACCGTCCGACGCACAGTCGAATGCACGGTCAAGCAAAACTCTGAAAGCATAGACGCACATGCCCGCACATGCCGCAGAGATGTCGCAGGCGATAGTGGCCTGACCACCTGAGCTCGGGGCATTTCGCAACCCAGAGTTCCGAGGATGTCTCAGGCAAGCGTGGCCGGATCACCATGGGGCAGGGCATCTTGGAAACCAGAGTGGCGAGGATGTCGCTGGTCAAGGTGACCAGACGACCATGGGGCAGGACACCTCCGAGGTCTGAGTTGTGAGGATGTCTCAAGCGAAAGTGGCCTGACCACCATGGGGCAAGAGATCTCTGAGGTCAGAGTTGCGAGGATGTCTCTGGGGAGAGTGGTCTGACCACCTCAGCCCAGGGCATCTCGGAGCCCAGAGTTGCGAGGATGTCTCAGGCAGGACTGGCCTGACCACCTGCTCAGGGCATCTCAGAACCCAGAGTTGCGAGGGTCTCAGGCGAAAAAGGCCGAGACACTATGGAGCAGGGCATCATTGAGGTCAGAGTTGCGAGGATGTCTCAGGCAAAAGTGGCCTGAACAGCTCAACTCAGGGCATCTCGGGCGAGGATGTCTAAAGCGAAAGTGGTCTAACCACCTCAGCTCAGGGCGTCTCGGAACCCAGAGTTCCGAGGATGTCTCAGGCGAAAGGGGCCGAGACACTATCGAGCAGGGCATCATTGAGATCAGGGTTGCGAGGATGTCTCAGGCGACAGTGGCTGACCACCTCAGCTCGGGGCATATCGGAATCGAGACTTGCGAGGATGTCTCAGGCGACCGTGGCCTGACCAGCATGGGGCAGGAGATCTCTGAGGTCAGAGTTGCGAGGATGTCTCAGCGAAAGTGGTCTAACCACCTCAGCTCAGGGCGTCTCGAAACCCAGAGTCCCGAGGATGTCTCAAGCGAAAGTGGCCGGGCCACCATGGGGCAGGGCATCTCCGAGACCAGAGTTGCGAGGATGTCTCAGGCGAAGGTGGCCAGATCACTTCATGTCAAAGCACGTCGGCCTCCAAATTGCCGACGACGTCTCACGCGGAACTGGCCGGACGCGAACGCGCCGGCGTCCGGAGACGAACGCCGGCCCCGGCATTCTTGCACGTCCCGCACATGCACTGCACAGGTACGCACAGTATTCGCACAGGCCGAGCTCGCCGGTGGCCGAGCCAGGCCAGCGATTCCGAAATTCCCTGAGCTCGGGCCGTCAAGCCACTTTCGCCTGAGACATCCTCGCAACTCTCACCTCCTCCTCCTCCTCCTCCTCCTCCTCCTCCTCCTCCTCCTCCTCCTCCTCCTCCTCCTCCTCCTTCTCCTCTGGCCGAGCCGAACAGGCAGGCGGGCCAGTGGCCGGGGGCGCCCGCCTCCTCCGCCCCCCCCTCCTCCCCCCCCCCTCCACCTCCCCCCCCCCATCCCTGCTTCTCCGGCCGAGCTGAGAAGGCGCGCGGGAGAGTATTTTATTAGGCGGGCGCGCCACCGCCAGCTCACGAACCGGGCGAATAACCGCCCCCGCCAGCAGCGGGCGAGTCTAAACGCACAACAAACTCTTTCAGGAAGCCCTGGCACGCCCCAGGTTAGCTCTGCGAAGGCCAGGAGGCATTGGAGGCACAGGGGTCCCAGACAGCTCCTAGGGCATGAGCGTGCATGTGCATTGGGATGTGCACGCATGTGCGCCCGCGCGCTTCACCGCATGTGCGTGCATGTGCGGGCCCGCGCGGCCTCCCGAAGAGAGGTTGCACAGGCATGTGCGTGCATGTGCCGATGACAGATCTGCGATTCTCGAACACCTCCCGCATGTGCAGGCATGTGCGCGCATGTGCGTCGGACTGTGCGTGCATGTGCGTATGATGGATACATCAAAACACAGCGCACATGCCCCCGCACATGCCCGGGCACGACGTGCACAGTAGGAAGTCCATCCAAGAAGGACCGCACAGGCCTGGCACATGACTGGCACATGCCGCGCACATGACAGCGCAAAAACGGCCGCACATACACCCACCCAGGGGTATAGATGTGAGTGCGGCGTACTTAAGAAATTAAGAATTTAGATACCTCAAGCAATACACAGGCAGAGTCCGGGCCACGGAATCCCACTACACCCGCGCACCCAGGGATGGTCTAAGGCCGTTCGGCCTCTCACTCGGATATGCACTAACAGTCACTAACACCCACTCCGCCTTCAAGGGAGGGAGGCGGCGTATAACATCGCTGGCTCGTACTGATGATCTACACACTGCCACCCTCCCCTCGAGGCCCAGGAGCAACCCACTGGAGGGTGCATGTGCGCATGTGTTGTTTGTGGCGGGGCGCTCGGAGGAGAAGAGGGGGGCCACAAGGTCTGGCAGATACACTCGGGCCCCCGCCATGACATCTCCCCCCACCCCGCACGCCCTCTGCTCTCTCTTGGACGGGTCGGGGGGGTGAGCCTGAACAGAAACCCGAGGCGAAGCCGGAAAATCTGACGCCAGACCCGAAAATCCAGAGCGAGCCAAACCAGAAACCTGGTGGAAACCCGAGAATCCGAAGGAGCGAAACTTGAGCAGGGACCGACCGTCCCGGCATTCCTATAGGCCTCATAGCACGTCATGTTCTTAGAACCTAAACATGTTCTGATCATAAAAACAATGTTCTCAGAACATCAACCCGATGTGTTAAACCAAGACGGCCTCAACCAAAACTGTTCTAAGAACCTTTCGCGCAGACCACAACTTGCTCTTAGACATTTCTTTGGTAGGCCTATAGGCAAACCGGGACGCTTCGCCGCTGCTTGAGAAACCCGAAACCAGCGGAAAAGCCTGTACTCTCGGCGGTGGACAAACCCTCCTTTAGTAAACCTCGCTTTAATGAAAACGGCCTGGGACCGACACCGACGGACCCGGACCCGCAAAAATGACGGCCGCGACGCCCTCTCGCGAACCGAAAACGGTCAATTCGCTAATCGACGTGTCAGGGCAGGAGGTCTGTCCACCTCTGAGTACACCCGGTGATCTCCTCCGAGCGCCCCCGATCGGCGGCCCTCGGCGGCCCTCGGGGATCTCCGGGCCAGCGGCGCGGATGCCGACGGCAACAGGCGGCGGCGGCGTCGCCGGCTGCGGCGTCGGAGGTCAACACGCCGAAGTACGTGGTCCAGCATGTTAGGAGGGCACTGCTGGGAGGTCTTCGTCGGAAGGGCTCAGGAGGATTCAGCCCTATTGGGAAGCTGCTACGCAAGATTAGAACCGCGGATCAAGCGAAATTGAACCGGACTAATCAGGAGAAAGCCGGATGAAGCGGGATTAAGCCGGATTAAACCAGATTTCGGACCAGGGGAAGTCAGAAGTTGACCTCCCAGGAGTTGCATCCGAAAGTATGCCTGCAAGGAGGGAAGGAGGAAGGTAAAGGTGAAGTCCTAGCTGAAGGCCCGCGTGGGGCGGGACAGCGCGCGGCATTGCGCACTGGGTGCCGACCTACGGCGTGCCAGCCCATGAAACAGACTCAGAAGAGGATGCTCGCCATGCCTCTCCGTCTTGGGCTTTCTGTCCCCATTCTCCCTGTCTGGCATGATCACAATACCGTCTCAAAACGTACTCGACATTCATCCATGGCCTACGTGAAGGCCTGGCCGGCCTCAACCACCTAGCCCGCACACCTGCTTGCCACGATGAGGAAGGAGAAGAAAAAGGAGGAGGAAAAGGAGGAGCGTCGTCTTCGTCGTCGCCGTCCATTTCCACGCGAACCCGGAGCGCCCTGGATCGGCGGCACTGGCCAGAGGCCACTACAATACATGGATAGGCTCGGTTGGAACCCTGTTCAAACTGCTTCGTGGCAATGCAAGCGTGTACCACTTCATCTCAGTGGAAGACCGATGGGGTGATGAGGTGATACGTGAAGTGATTGCGTGTCTGCTCTCTGGTCTTGCAGCTTTGGCACTGGAGTGCAGCTGTTTTGAACGCTGCGTGCTGCGATCGCAACTCGGCGCTCTGGTGTCAAGAGGGGGGCATGCCTCTGACTGCAGACATCCAAGCCAAAATGCGAACGGAGGCAAGGGAACACAGCGATAGACACTCACACACACAGTCTCGCGCCACCCCTTCCGCGCACCGCCGACCTCTCCTCCCAGTCAAACCCGAGTCCGACGTCGGTCTTGGCCATGGCCTCCCTGTTGCTGTCCGAACTGGCGAGGTTCGACAGGGATCCCAGGGCGAGCTTGGCGACCTTGCGGTCGTCGTGCTTCTGGCACCTGCTCGAGGTAAACAAAGGAGGGGTGGGGGAGGGAGGAAGCAAGAAGAGGAGGATAGGAAGATGGGAGGAGGAAAGATGCTTCAGGGAGGGGTCCTGGGCTTGTTCGGGAGGGCCCCTTCGGGAGGAGCGAGCAAGAGGAAGGGAGCACAAAAGAGCTTCTGTGAACCGTTCTAAAAGAGGTGGTTGAATGGTTGGGGGGGGGGGCACCTGAGAGGGAGAGAGCGAGAGCCAGAAATCCGCCTGTGAGCCCTCCTACGAATCGGAGGTTACTCAACGCGACGGCGCCGTCTTCGTCGAAGCCTCCGGCGCTTGGCGCGCGCGCAATCGTCGTCTGGCGACGAGGGAAATGTGCCTCCCGCGCACGTCCAAAGTTCGTGTTCATGTGCTTCTCTGACCGCCGAGGAGGTGGAGAATAACTGTTGTGCTGTTGGCCTCGACGCCGACACCACCAGTGCTCTCTCCTTGGTGCCAACCGCCTGCCAGTGCTGACCTGCAGGGAGAGAGTTCAAGCTCGGAGGGAGCGCGGAGAAGACGGGCTAGAGGAGTGGGGGGACGGAGGGGGGGAGGAGCGAGAGGGGCTAAGGGGATGTAAGGAGGGAGGGGCTCAGGGGAGGCTGGCGCAGGTGGAAATCTGCCTCTCGCTGACGTCCGACTATCATGCTCACAAGCTGGCAGTATCGAGGACGAGGAGGGGAAGCAGGAAGAGCCCAAAACAGGGCAGGGCTTGAAGTAAAGGCCAAGGGGGGGCACCACGCCTTTGTGTCGAGATTGCCTAGTAGGCGGTGGTGGTGGTGGTCGTGGTAGAAACGGAAGGAGGATGGAATACGAGAAGGGGGAGGAGGCAGAGAACAGGAGACTGGAGGCGAAGCAGGAGGAGGAAGAGGATGGCGGAGTAAAAAGAGGAGGCTGGAGGAGGAAAAGGGCGGGGATAACGGAGAAAGAGGAATCGAACAAGTACGTAGTAGGCAGGAGGAGGAGGCTGGAGGCGGGAGAGTGAAGAGGATGCACCGTCAGCTCGCAGGGGTCCAAGGGCCGCCAACGAGAGCGTCGTCTTCGTCTCCGTCGTCGCCCACCCTCGATGCGGAGAATCATACGTAGAAAAAACAAGGAAATGAGGCGGCCGGAGGATGATGAGCCGGAGGCTCGCGGAGGCTGTAGGAAGAGGTCTGAGGAGAAGGAGGAGGAGAGCAGGAGGAGGAGGAGCAGGAGGAGGAGGAGCAGGGAGGAGGAGGAGGAGCAGGAGGAGGAGGAGGAGGAGGAGGAGGAGGAGGAGGAGGGAGGATGGGTGAAGACAGAGGAAGAGGCCTGCGAAGGATGGACGAGGCTGGCAGCAGCAGCGCCCCGAGAAGAGTCGAGGTTGATCGAACTACGGGGCAAATTGGGGAACTCACCTCAGAGCTGTAAACTCGACACGACACTGGACGCGGGGCACCAGCAGCAATCCCTTCCGCGAGTTGCCCGTGCACGGCCCAGGGCACCAAGTCCCACATCACTGCTGTCAGGGAGGATCGGTCCATCAGCAAAGGCAGCAACGACCCAGGAGAAGGAAGGGCGAGCGGGGGGCGCTACCAAGGCAGAAGCGCCCAGCCCCAAGAGGCTGGGGGGGGGATGGAGGAGCTGGAGCACGAGGTTTCTCGAGGAAGATCCAGGAACCCCCTGAACCCCCCTCGCCTGGGGTCGCTTGAACCACCTGTGACCGCCGAACATCCTGCTCCTCCCCTCCTCCTGCCTCGTTCTCTCCTCCCCGTCCTCGCCTCCTCCTCCTCCTCCTCCTCCTCCTCCTTCTCTGCCTCCTCCTCCTTCTCCTCCTCCTCCTCCTCTTCCTCCACCTCCTCCTCCTATTCCTCCTCCTATTCCTCCTCCTCCTCCTCCTCCTCATCCTTCTCCTCCTCCTCCTCCTCCTCCTTCTTCTCTTCCTCTATTTCTCCTCCTCCCATTCCTGCTACTCTTCCACCACCTCCCCCCCATCCTCCTCCTCCTCCTCGTCCTCCTGTTCCTGTTTCTGCTCCTGCTCCTGCTCCTCCGCCTCCTTCTCCTCATCCTCCTCCTCCTCTTCCTCCTCCTCCGTCTCCCCTTTCTCCTCCGTTCGAAGAGAAGGACGGCGACAGCGGGGAGACGCCCGCGCAGCACGGCGCAGATCTCCTCCACCGCGCCGCTCTCCCCTAGCTGGGCACGGATCTCGGGGTCCGACGCCAGGTTGCCGAGGACGCCACAGGCCTCCTTCAGCAGCGACGTGCGGCCCCTGGGAGCCTCCGCTTGATGGCTCTTGCGGCTGCCTCGCCTCGGCGTCGTCGCTGCTGCCGTCGTCGTCGCCGTCGCCGTCGCCGTCGTCGCCGCCGCCGCCGTCGTCGTCGGCGGCGTCCTCCCAGTGGTCGTCGCAAGCATCGTTATAGTAGTCGGGCATCGTCGGTCTCCTCATCCTCCTCCTCCTCCTCCTCTTCTTCCTCCTCTTTCTACTCCACCTTCTCCTCCTCCTCCTCCTCCTCCTCCTCTTCGCCAGCGTCGTTGTCGCCGTTGTCGTCGTCGTCGGCGCCGTCGCCGTCTTCTTCATCGCACCCCAAGGCTGCCAAGGCCACCTCCAATATCGCTCCTCAGTGCTCCGCCACCTCTCCCCCTCCCCTCTTCACTCATACAGCATCCCTCCTCATAGTTCGTTCACTATTTCTCATCAACCGTCTCGTTTCGCCGAATCTCATTGCCTCCTCCGTCATCCCAATCCCCTGCTGTTCCGCATGGCTCCTGCTCCTCCTCCTCATCGTCCGTATCCCCCCTCCCCCCTCCTCCTCCTCCTCCTGCTCCTGCTCCTCCTCCTCCTCCTCCTCCTCCTCCTCATCACCATCATCATCTCTCTCCCCCTCCTCGTCCCTCCTCCTCCTACTCCTCCTCCTCCTCAGCTCACCACCACCACCACCATCATCATCACCACCATCATCATCGTCATCATCGTCAGCATCGTCATCAGCACCATCATCAGCATCAACATCAACAACAACAACAACAACAACAACAAAATCATCATCATCATCATCATCATCATCATCATCATTATCATCATCATCATCGTCATCATCATCATCACCATCATCGTCATCAACATCATCATCATCATCATCATCACCGTGATCATCATCATCATCATCATCATCATCATCATGATACTCATCATCGTTGTCATCATCGTTACCATGATGATCATCATCAGCAACAACAACTTCAACATCAAAATCATCGACATCGTCAACATGATCAGCATCGCCATCAGCACCGTCATCCTTATCATCATCAGCATCACCCTCATCATCATCCTCATCATCACCATTACCATCACCACGATCATCATCATCATCATCATCATCAGCATCACCATCATCGTCTTCATCATCATCAGCTGCAACATATTCTTACCATTATTCTTGTGATAAGTCTTATGATTGTTTAACGTCTAAGTATCTTATTGGTTCCTCTTAGAAGCGCCCTGGGTTTGACCGTTAGTCACTTTAGGCTCTTGACAAACTAAAAACGCAGTAACCACGCGATGGTGTTTAAGCATGTTTGGCTCCATTGTTTTAGCAACTTTAGGCCCGTCGCGGTGAATCGTTGTTGCCCTACCCTGTTTTCACTTTCTGGTCGCAGGCTGTTCCTTGTCTTCCTTGCTGTCTTCGCTCCCGCTCATTTCTGCCGCCTCTCCCTGTCAGAACTAAAAACGCAAAACAAACGCTTGACCACCGGTCTAACACCACCCCGAAATAGGCCTGGAGGCCCGACGGCCCCCGGAGGGGCGATCGGCCATCGGGCCCGCCAGTCTGCAGGCCAGGAGAAGGACCGCACGCCAGGAGAAAGAACTGAAGACGGCGTAGACGGCAATGTTAAACAACGCAACCAACTGATCTGAAAACGCTAAGAAAACGAAAGTGAAAGCGCAAACGACAACAACCAGAATATTAGTTTTAGCGTTTCTAGTCTTTTTGATGTCTTCTTGTGGGAAGTAAGGACGCAAAACAAGGTTGTCCAACACGACAAGATAAACACTGAAAAAACGCCCAGGACATTCAAGAGTAACCTAGATCATCATCGTCATCATCATCAGTCATGATCATCAGCATCATCATCATCACCACCGTCACCATGATCATCACCATCACCATTAGCACCATCACCATCATCACCCATCAGCATCATCAATCAGCATCATCATCACCAGCATCATCACCATCAACACCATCATCCTCACCCTCATCATCACCATCAACATCGCCAACATCATCATCATCGTCATCATTAGCATTACCAACATAGCCATCATCATCAACATCATATTATGAGCATGATTATCATGATTAGTCTTATCATTCGTATTCATGTTCTCTTTTTGGTTTTTCTTAGATGCGCCCTGGGCATTCTGTTTTACCGGTTTTCCACTTTGGGCTCTTGACAAGCCAAGACGCCAACAACAACGCGACGGTGTTTCAGCGTGTTTAGCTCCGTTGTCATAGCGTTTAGGCCAATCGCTGTCAATCGCAGTTTTGTTTTAAGCGTTGTTTGCTTTCTGGTCGAAGGCTGTTCCTTGTCTTCCTTGTTGTTCTCGCTCCCGCTCATTTCTGCCGCCTCTCCCTGTCAGAGCTAACAACGCCCAACAAAAACGCTCGACGGCCTAGCCCGGAGGCCCGACGGCCCCCAGAGGGGCAATCGGCCATCGGACCCGCCAGTCTGCAGGCCAGGAGAAGGACCGCACTCCAGGAGAAGGAACTGAGGACGGCGTAGACGGCAATGTGAAACAATGCAGCCAACTGATCTGAAACGCTATAAATACGTAGCCGAAAACAAATGGATAGTTGATGTAGAGTGTGTAGACTTCTAGTTGGGAAAGAAGAAAGCTAAAACATATATCCAATACGCCGAGGAAAAAACTGTAACAAACACACAGGGCACATGCATGAAGAACCAAGAGCATTATCATCATCATCAGCATCAGCATCATCATCATTGTGAGTATCAGCATATTCAGCATCAATCGTCAGCATCATCATTATCATAATCACGATTTGCATCGTCATCGTCATCGTCATCACTATCATTATCATTATCATCACCTTCATCATCAGCATCACTCATCATCATCAGCATCATCACCTTGTTCTGCATCATCATCGTCATCACCATCATCACCAGATCACAATCACCATAATCAAACATTATCATCATCGTCATCATCATCACCAGCATCATCATTATCATCATCACTATCATCATCCTCATCCTCATGCCCACCCTCATCATCACCATCACCATCATCACCATCATCATCATCATTATCATTATTATCATCATCACACTCATTGTCCTCATCATCATCAGCTCAGCATCAGCATCACCATCATCATCATCAGAATCAGCATCATCATCATCTCATCCCTCTGTCCCCCAACTCCCTCGTCCGTCCCTTCTCATATTACAGCATCTCACTTCCTTAACTATCCATGCCGAGGCCCGAGGGTTCCTGAACGTCTGCATCGCCTGAATTGTGGTCTGAATGAACCCTAAATTGACGATGTCAGCCTGGAGACTGGAAGATCATACGCAGTGAGATGAATACTAGAAAGAGGGCGACAACAAGCACATGGTTATTTGCCTGCCCTGCTGGGCCTACGATATGCACCCCTATTGCTGGTCAACTGTCCAACGATGGTGTAATCGGCGCTGGGTTAAGTCCATGATGTCCCAGAGGTGGTGGCAGTACGCACGTCTTGACGAGGTGAAGAAGTAGGAGGAAAGCACTGAGACCCGACGTCGTGAGAAAATCCCTACGTTGTGCATCGCTACGGTACGAACAAAACTGCAGAACCACACCGGAGTCCCGGGCTTCAGGATGGGAGGAAGAAGGGGGGAGGGGGGGCAGGGAGAGGGGATGGGAACAGGATGGAGCGGGGGAGGGAGAGACGGACGGAAAGGGGGGGACAAGAGGACGGAGGAAGAGGGAAGTGACAAGACCAGACGGAGTGAGGACAAATCTCAAACGCATACGTTTCTGGGCGTCGTGGCCCTGCACGCAGCGACAAGGCGTAGTAGGTCGGCAAGCAGCAACCGCGCAAGCGCGTCTAAGCTCGCCCGAGCCCTCAGAGACGCACACATACACAACATCCGTTTTACCGCTAGGTAACTCCTCCATGTCACACCGCCAAACGTCTCGGACGGGCGGGCTGGGCGTTTCGCCTGATACTTCCGCACCGATTATGATGTCTAAAGCTTGACATTTGCAACAACTGCAAAGATGAAGGGCGGATGGTTTTCAGACCGAGGCTCTCGCCTTAGCGCTGCATGCACTCGTCTTTCACGGTCGCATTGGCTACAAGGATGGAGGGTGGTGTTTTCAAACTGGGGCTCTCGCCCCAACCCCGCGCACGTTCGTCCTGAAAGCTTGCAACATCTGTAAGGATGGAGGGCGGCTCCGAATCACCTTGGGGATCTCGCCTTGGCGCCGAGCAGATTCGCCTTAAAAACTTGCCAGAACGGAGGGCGAATCATTCTCAAAAAGGAGCTGCTGCCTGAGCGCCGCGCACTCGTCTTAAGATGTACATCGGTTGCATGAATGGAGGGCTGATGATTTTCATAGTGGGACTAACCCTTGAGAGATCATGTAACCTAGAGATCATAAGCTTCAACATATCTGACAGCTGCGAGGACGGGGGGGCAGCTTACTTTGAAACTGGTGTTATTGCTTGAAATTTCCTCGAACCTTTCGGCCATAAATGCAAACGAGTGCAACAACTAAGATAGGGGCGGAGCTATTTCAAAATGGAACTTTCGTTGCACACCTTCCTCGTGAGACTGTATGCTGATAACTTCTCGCCACATGATTCGCAAAAAGGATGCAAACCAGCTCCCTGTCAACACGGAGCTCTCGCCCTGATGGCAGGGCCATGGGGTGCTGGTGTTGCAGCGGGGCGCTTCTTGTGGTGGGCAAGAAGCTGCCCAGAGACCCTTCGGAGGGGACTTGGGACGGGAGGGCGTGTTGCAGCATCAACGGTGCTGGTTGAATTCACCCTGGTCTGCCGTCGACCCCACTTCCTCTACTCCACTCTTCCCTTCTCGCCCTCACTCTTCCTCACGGTTTGTGTCATCCCTCCTTGCGGGATCGCGTTTTACCATCTGGAGGTGAGGTGCGATGGCTTCCTGCGTAGCCGACCAGCTCATATCACATGTCCTGCACGAAGACAAGAGGAAGAGGCATGGGGAGGACCTCGAAGGATGAATGGACGAGGAGAGGACAGGCAAGGGAGGAGAGGAGGAGGCGGCCGCTCAGCTCCCTCGAGCGCTGGCGATCGTCTCAGTGGCCGAGACACCGCTGAGCAACCGACCCCCAGCAAGATCGCTTCGACCCCCCCACGGTTCCTGGGCCCAGCCTGCCCGCACGGTGGTGGGCTCCATCAGCTGGCTGTAGATGTCTGCGAGAGGCGAGCGGTGGACCCCGCCCCGACGCTCCTGCGCTCCGCCCCGCCCAGTGTCACCAAAAGCGTACCGTTTCGCCGTCGGGCGACGCCCGCAAGAGCAGCACTCGAAGCAAGCGACCAGGGCACGTTAGGTCCGCGGGGAGCACGGGAACGGCGCACCGACCACTGCCGTTCCAACCGCGGGCCACAGCGGTGACATCGCTCCTGGGCAAGACCGTGTGGCTTCATCCAGCGGCAACGTGCATGTAGATCGAATCCGCGGCCAGCGCTGGGAGGGCGCGCTGAGCATGACCGTTCCAGCCGCAGGCCACGGGAGTGCTATCGCTCCTGAGTAAAACTGTGTGGCCCTCACCAGCGGCACTTGCGTGTAGGACAGGCCCCCGTCTACTAACGCAGGGCGGGCGCACTGGCCGACGTCATTCCAATTGCAGGCCACAACCGCGCCGTCGCTCCTGAGCAGGACTGCGCGATCCCTTTTAAGTCAGGTCCCCGGCCAGCGCCGGCAGGGAGCACTGCTGACTGTTCTGGCCGCAAGCCACGGCGGATCCATCGTTCCTGAGTGCTGTTTGGCACCCTCCAGCGGCAGCTAGCGTGTAGGTCACGTCCCAAGCCAGTTTCGGGGGGGGGCGCACCGTTTCTGACAGGTCCAGTCGCAGGCCACGGCGGTGCCATCGCATCTGAAAAGCACTGTATGCACCCTTCCAGCGGCGACTTGCGTGTAGATAAGGTCTGCCGCCAGAGATGGGAGGGCGCACTGAACATAATCGTTTGAACCGCAAGCCACGGCCGAGCCATCGCTTCTGAGCATGATTGAATGGGCCTCTTCGGCAACAGCTTGAACGTAAGTCACGTCCCTGGCCAGCGCCCGGAAGGCGCACCGATCCTGGCCATTCCACCCGCAAGCCACGGCGGCCCCGTCGCTCCTGCGCAGGACCGTGTGACGCCGTCCTGCGGCGAGCATCCGCGCGAATGGTATGGCGGGTGCCCGAAGTCGAACCGTGGCGCGGCGACGAGGGGTAAGCAACCTTACCACCACCGCCTGGAGCATGCAGGATATGTTCTTGTGTGGAATGCTGATGGGCAAATGGGCAGGATGCCGTGCGAACGCGCCCAGAAAGGTACGCATGCACCGCCACGACCCCTGGCATCCTCCACGAGGGTACGACCCCTGACCCCTCCATGCCGCTACTCCCCCAGACCTCTCGCGGGGTGCGCTGTGAGTTCAGAGCAGGACTCCGAATCGAATCTGGCAGTTGCCAGAAAGGCGAAGACGAGGGCAGGCATCGGCACTGCCATGCTCAGTCTCCCTGGCCCCAGGTGGCGGCGGCGATCGGCCCTCCCTGCCCCTCTCAGGATCGACTCGGGGGCCACGGCCACACGGGGGCGAAGAGGAGATCGACTACAAAGTTGGCTTACCCCCACATTGATGTTTTTGTCGACTTTACGAACACGCACGTAGAACGTTCGTGGATCTACGAACATTCGACGTCGTTCTGTATGTAAATTCGACGAGTATGTCGTGCGCTACCCTTGTCGACAGCGAGCCGAAGCACGGGGGCTCGATGTGGGCTGCGTGCGCGGCTCGGGCCAACAGAGCGGCCGCACTGCGCGGCGTGGCGACCGGCAGCCCCAGCGGGGAGGGGCCCAAGGCATCGAGGGCACGCCACAGGGGAAGGGCAGGTCTGGGTTACCTGTCCTCCTCCTCCTCCTCCTCCTCCTCCTCCTCCTCCTCCTCCTCTTCCTTATCCTCCTCCTCCTCCTCCTCCTCCTCTTCCTCCTCCTCCTCCTTTTCCTCCTCTTCCTCCTCCTCTTCCTGCTCCTCCTGCTCCTGCTCCTGCTCCTGCTCCTGTTTCTGCTCCTGCTCCTGCTCCTGCTCTTGCTCCTGATTGCGTGGCAGCGGGCCCCCCGAAGTCCGAGGGGGGCCCGCCACTTTTGCGAGCCGCGCCGCGCGCGCCGACGCGCGCCCGCGCACGCGCTCGCCCGGCCCCAGCGGCCCCGGTGCTCCCCCCCGCCGTCTGCCGCCCGACGCCCTCCGCCAGCCGCCGCCAAGCCGCCCTTTTTCGGTTTCTCCTTGCCTGCTGCCGCCCTCTTTGCCTCCTCCGTTCCCTCCTCAAGCTCCTCGACCTCCTCCTCCTCCTCCTCCTCCTCCTCCTCCTCCTCCTCCTCCACCTCCTCATCCTCCTCCGCCTCCTCTTCCTCCTCGCCCTCCTCCTTCTCCTCCTCCTCCTCCTCCTCCTCCTCTTCCTCCTCCTCCTCCTCTGGCCCGTCCGCGTTGGTCGCGGGCGTCGGCGCCGGCGCCCTTCCTCAGCCTCGTCTTTGTCATCCTCCTCGCCGCCTTCCCTCCCCCTTCTCCTCTGCGGCCAGTTTCTCTGCCTCTCGTCCGCCGCCTCGTCTGGCGCGTCCTCGTCCTTGCCCTCGCCCGCTTCCTCCTCCTCCTCCTCCTCCTCCTCCTCCTCCTCCTCCTCCTCCTCCTCCTCCTCCTCCTCCTCCTGGGCGCTGCTCCGCCTCAGCGCTCCCCGCCCTCGGGCCCGCCTCGCCCGCCCAGGGGCCTCGCCTGGAGCCCGCCAAAGGCATGTTGTCCGGGCGGGCGCGGGCGCTGGCGATGCGCCAGGTCCCCGAGGCCTGCAGGGCGTTGCTGACCTCCTGCCAGAGGCCCGCCGCCAGCGCAGACGCCTTGGCCTCGCCGCCGGCCATGGCAACCAGCATGCGGACGACCGCCTGGGCGCTATCGCTGGGACGGCCTCCGACCTCCAGAACGCACGGGGAAATATTCAGTCCCGCGAAGCGCCGCCTCTTGGCCCTCTCCGCCTCCGCGGCGGCTGCCCCGCCCCCGCTGGCCGCTGCCCGGACTCGCGGCGGGTTTGCGCGTGCCCACGCCGCGGCGGCGTCGATGGAGACGCGCCGGCCGTCGTAGTTGAAGACGACATCAAGCACGTCGGCCGGGGCGTCGTCGGCCGCTGCGTCTGCCGAGACAGGCGCCCGCAAGCTCTATCCACGGCGCCTCCATCGCGCGGGAGGACCGACGGCGAAGCTGGAGAATAATGTCAGCTCGCACCACTTCACGCAACGATTTGGCAGACTGGCGATCGCTTCCCATCAGGGCCGCGTGAAATTCCGAGCCCGCCGACGGTTGACAAACTGAGCGCCTGATGTGGCCACTGACTCTTCACAGCAGGCGGACAGGCGATCCGACCAATGGGCGCAGGTAAAAGGGGAAGGGAGAAGCAGAGAAGCGACCCGAGCCAGCGGACCAGCACGGCAGCAGGCAAGAGCGGAGGAGCCAAGAACCCACGCCACAAGGGAAACGCCTGCAGAACATGCGGCAAAAAATGCATGGGCTAATCCCAGGAATGTGCCCGATCCTCTTTTTCCCGCATTTTCTGCAGCCAGAGAGAAGCATCGCAAGCGGAGCGAGCAGCAGGCAACAACCCACGGGTCATAAGGCATTCGGGAAACTGGAGGGCTGCGGATCCCCAGGCCCGCGTTCGGGGGGGACCCGGCACCAATGCGCGCACGATTACATGTCTGAGCTGTTGGAAAACGATGACAGCAGCGCGAGCGTCAGGAAACAGAGGGCGCCAGTGCCAGCCACCGCTGCAAATGGGCGCGCTCCCGTCGTTTACTGCCCTGCCGTGGCCGTCCGGATTCGGACGGCCAGCGCCCGCCAAAAAACTGCCCAGCTCGCTCCGGCCCAGTGCGAGCGACCGCGCGACCCCTGGGCTGCCTCGCCAGGGCACCCCCCCGCCTCGGTGACGAAAGGCGTGATCGGGAGGCCCGCGCACCGAGTCAGCTTGCCCCTCTCGCAAAAGCAGCAGCCGCACCGTCTGCGCCAGCAGCCGCGCGACAACGAGCAACGTCGTCGCTGTCAACGAGAACGATGGCACTGTCGTTGGTGACGAGCCGGCCGTTCTCATGCCACAGGACGTCGAGGATGTCGGCGCGGTCGCCCTCGCCCCCGGGACCCGCGCCAGCGACCTGCGCGACTGCTGCGCCCGCGCCGCCGGCCGAGCGACGGAGGCCGTCCATGCGTTGCTCTTTCAGCGCGCGCAGGTCGATGTGATTCTTGACCCACTGTAGCAGGAAGTCTCGCGCGTCGTTGCAGACCCGGACACTGCCGCCTCCGACTTTGCAGGCGGGCACGCGGTGTTCCGCCATATCGTCGTTCAGCGCTCTTCCGCAATCTCCGGCCCTTGACCGGCGCTGGCAATGCGTGGAGAGAGGCCGGGGCGAAATGACGTCGGCCATGCTGAACAGCAGACGGCGGCGAGTTGAGATGCGCCAAGCTCCGTTGGGCATCGGCCCCGCTCCAGGCAGCGGCGCGAGCTGGCATGCGCTTGCGCCGGCCCTTCCGTCATCTGAGCGGACTCTGGCTCGGTCGCGCTCGGAGCGGACTCTGGCTTTGCATCGAGCGGTCTTTGCGCGCGCCGTGGGCGCGCTCCACGATGGCCTCCTGGAGGTGGGCTGGCGAGCGCGCGCTCAAATCCAGCAGCGGGGCATTAGCTAACGCGGGTGATTTGCGGCGGAGGGCGACCCTCGCAAGTGGCACCGCTGCCAGGGTTGCTGGTAGAGAATCGGATACGGCGCTTGGGCCAGAAAGAGCTATCGGCCCCTTATCAGTGATCAATGGGCGATGGGGGGCCGACGCGTTGCGCTCCCTGACCCCCCTCGCGTTCGTTGCCCCTGACATGGCTGGAGGACTATGCAGACCTGCGGAGACCCGCAAAAGAACCTAACCATAAAAACCGTCATGGTCGATCCACCAGGGGATCGGGCGTGGACGAACTCGGCTCAACGCATACACCGCTCAACCAATTCAGAAAAACACGCGCGGCAATTTTGGATGCCCGAAATGGGTACGGAAACAATTGCACAATGTCCAACAACAAATGTTGTCCAAACCCGACAGCAGCCACTGTTGGGCGGGCGGCTTTTGGCTTCAAAGAACAACGTCCGCGGCGGCGCGGACAACGAGTCCTGTTCAAATTGAACAAGAACTGCTTTTGGGAATCGTACCCATTCTTTCCGTACCCATGTCGATCGTCCAGAGCAATTCTTCGGGCAGGCTCCCCGAACCTGGCCCAGCCAACATGTAATTAAGGCCACCTCTTGGGGCCGTGAGCGGCTCCCGAGCCCGGCTCAGCCCAGAGCTGGGATCATGCAGGATCCTGCGGGAGCTGCCGCTCTGGCTGAGCCCCGTTTGCGCCAAAATCCGCGACAATCCTCCTCGAAATCAGAGTCGCAATTTTCTAATGCTGATCGACGCGCGAAACGCGGCCCGCAGGGTCAGATTTTTTCTTGACAGTCACCAGCTCTGGCGCGAATATCGACAGTTTGGGATCTTGGGATGCCGCCACGTCGCGGAAAAAACTTGCGTTTGATTTCAAGGAGGGCTGTACGTACCTGCCAGCTGAGGAGAAGCGGGGAGGTGGCAGGCCGGCCCCTCCGCGCCTGGTACTGCGGCCCGCGGCTGAGGCCCCGCACGATGCCGAGCGCCGCCTCGTGGGGCTCCGCGGCGACGACGACGACGACGACGACGACGACGCAGACGACGACAACGACGACGACGGCGACGACGACGGCGACGACGACGCCGACGATGACGCAGACGACGACGACGACGACGACGACGACGACGACGACGACGACGACGACGACGACGACGACGACGACGGCGGGAGCGGCGGCGGCGGCGGCGGTGGCGACGACGACAATGACAAGGTAGACGACGTAGACGGTGATCACGACGATGACGACGACGACGACTCTGTGTGGAGCTCGGCAGCCTTGAAGACGACGCCGACGACGACGACGATGACGTAGACCACGGCGGCGGCCACGACGACAGTGACGACGTAGCGACGTAGACGGTGACCACGACGACAACGACGAGGTCGGGCGCGGCCTCGTGGAGCCCTGCGTGGTTGATCTCGCCGGCCTGGGCGACGCATGCGCACATGTTGTATCGCGTCGTGTTGCATGTCGTGGCTGCCTGCTCTCTGCGCGTGCCCTTTGCATCGATTCGTCGTACGTGTGGCGGCGAGCCCAGGGAGGAAGTCAGAAGGGGGGGCCTTCTCAGAAGCATCCCAAGAGGCTCGGAAGGCCTCCAGCTTTCTGTGACATGTTCTAGCCTCTCAGAATGCCGGCGGGCTTCTGACAAACCCCGCCGCCTGCTGAGAAGGCCTGCTCCCTCTCACTTCCCCCCTGGGCGCGCCGCCGATACCCGTCTCCTGTGTCCAAATGTGTTAACGTTGTCGCTGGCGCCTGCCGTGCGTCGAACTGTGATCGTCTGCTGTTTGCGTCTGTCTGTTGTTACGTTATGCTGAACGACTTCATGCCCTGAGCGTGCTCAGCCCCCCCTCCCCCGCGCCCGCGCCTTCCCTTGCTGCTGTGCCCACGGAGGCCCCGCAATGCCCCATCGGCTGCCTCAGACCGCGGCGTGGATCCGCGCCGCGCGACCGAACAAGTTTCATCGTGCTGTAATGAGGGGCCACGATAGGGGGGGTAGGGATGGGGGGGTTAACAACGACCTGGAATCGGCGATACATCGCCGATAGATCGTCGGTAGGCCTCCGATAGTGAATCCGCACCTTCCTGGGCAGATTGGGTTATCGGGCCCCTATCGGCGATCAATGGGCGATTGGGGGTCGATTCATCCCCCCCTATGCCTATCGCCCCCGATCGTTAACCCCGATGTAATCCGCAGGCGGTGCACCCAAAGATCTCGAGGCCTGGCTGCCGCGGTGTTAGGGGAGGGCGGGCGTGGCGGGAGTTAGCTTCCATACATCGACGTATGTGTTGGAGTCGGGAAGCCCTGAACTCAAAAAGGTTGTCATCTCTCGGGAGGTCGACTGTTGCTTCCGCCGGCTTCCTGGCCTTCCGCCAGCTTCCGCCGACAGAGGCCGCCTCGCTTTACTTCCGCCGCCTTCCGCCGACTCCGCCGACCTTCCGCTGCGGAAGAAATGGTAACTCCTTCGGTCTTCGAAGGCAAGGTCCTTCCTGGAACGCTCCACATGCGCATGTGCATGTATGTACAGAAGGCCCAAAGAGGCTGCAAGGATCCCCGAAGAGGCCCCCAAGACGCCCCAAGAGGCCCGAAAACGGCCCCCAAGAAGAGGCCTCAAAACGGCCCCCAAGAGGCTCCCGAGAGGCCTCCCGCGACATCCCAACGAACATCCCAGAGGCCTGTGACCCACAACCCAAGTAAGGTGGCGGGATGGGCCGAAAGCCATTGAACATGGGCCGGCACGGAAACGGAAAGAGCGCCTCAGGAACTTGCCCGAGATGGCTCATGGCACCCTTCGCTCTGGGGAGCCTTGGTGTGAAGAGCTTGTTGCGTCGCCGCTCCCCGTTGGGAGCCCCGGTGTTCAGAGACTTTTACGTTGCCATTCGCTCTTGGGAGCCTTGATGTGACGAGATTTTACGTCACCGCGCTCTAGGGATCCTTGGTGTCAAGAGCTTGTTACGTCACCGCTCGCTCATGGGGAATCTGGTGTTTTATTTTGACCGCTACAGGCCGCTTCACCTCAGCATGCTTCTGCAACAACCTCACACCACCTCGAGGGGAAAAATGTCCTGGCTGCTCGTCCATGTGGGTGAATTTCTGCCACACAAGAATGCAGGCGGAGAGAGCCGCATCGCCGTGGCACCGCGCAGAGTGCGAGAGCGAGCACCTCACAAGAGGTCCGCTGTGAGTGCAAAAAGACCGAAGAAGGGGGGCCCAAGGGACAGAGACCCACAGAATAACAATTAATCGGAGTCATCCTGACTCCGCTCTCCAACAGCAGGGACCTGGAGCAGCTGCTGGGCGGGCGGCAGCTGGGCAGTCACGCGCTCCTCGGCTTCGCGAGGAGGAGGCACGGGCTTATCGGCATCATACGAAGCTGGCCAGTCGAACCACGAACCGCGCTCGACAGTGATTTCATCATACTTCGGATGCGCGCCGTGTTTCTGCTATGTGTTGTTCAGCAGGGCGCGCTCCAGACAAAGCCCTGCGCACAGGGCGCGCGCTGGCGAGCCTTCAAATTCAGGCGGCGGCTGCGGACAGATCCCCGCCTCGGGCCAGACGTGCGCAAGGGGGGGGGGGACGGGGGTAGGCCTCTCAGAAGCAGGGGTGTCTTTAAGGAGCCTCCCCCCTCCCCCTGCCCTCCTTTGCGCGTGGCCGACTGGGGTTAGGTCGGGCACGTCCTCCCACAATCGGATGTGAGAAAAGTACAGAAAAATCATTAACGATGATTCAGTTCTGCGTCCAACGCGCCGACCTGGGCCAGCGCGCCGACGTCCGCAAGGCGGAATTCACGAGGAGAACGGAGACACGGTCCACGTCGGGTTCGCGTCCGACCACCGACTCCTGGGTGGCCTGTCCAGGACAGGCCAGCGTCATGTTTCCAGCATTTGGCATTCTATGCACAAGCTCAAACAGGTGGAGGAAAAGGGGCAACACAAGCACCTCCGCTTACCCATCCCCCCTTTGACTGACTGTGGGCAGTCTACACGACAGACGGGGCAGGGAACTGGGGCATATCAAGGACAGAATTCAATTACGGTTGTATGTATGATTGCATGGTTGCTACAATGCGCAGGTATAGTGGGACACGGCAATATAAACACCAAGCATGTGCTCTGGGTTTGCGTGCTTTTATGCTTGCTTCCCGGGGTTGGGGCCGTAACTAGTCAGGAGCTCGATGAGCCAATTCAGCAATGTGTATATGGAGTGGTCGAAGGGATTACGCAAAGCAGTGTGATGACACCTCCAGGGAATATTGCACGGGAATGGGACGACGGGTTATGTCCCGATGACCTCATTGCAGGTTTGGTTTCAATTGCGACGGTGGTGCTGTGTGTGCGGATGACTTCTGGGTGTAAGAGGGCCCCTCACTCTCCACAGCGTGCCACGGTCGATTCATGCTGCCTTGTCCGGGTCCTCTGCATGGAATGCGGATGCAGAAGGGAGGCCAAGGAGGTCAGCAAGAACAAAAACCGGAAGAGGAAGGTACGGAAGAGGGTGAGGGAATGGACCCCCCTTTTTCTCCGTGGTTACTTGCCGACTTTGGAGCAGAACAGTGTGGTTCAAATGTGGACTGTGCAATTCGATTGCAACACTTTTGACTACAATATGGTACAACCACCTACTTGCCACAATAGCTGCCGGCATTGGGTCCGAGCAGAACCTTGCACTGACGGTTCCGACCGACACAACTTGCTGGGGCTACTTGCAGGCACTCAGCGTGTATACCACCGTTTGTCTCACCAATTTTGTACTGTTGCTTTCTCCTTTGCAAGGGTTGCCATAGGCGTAAAAATACATCTCTGGCGCGGAGAAAAGCCGCAGGACCCGACTACCAGAACTTCGACAGCATGTTCCCAGGGGGCGGAGGGGCGGATGTATACAACCCGCCTTCAGGAACTGGAGAGGCCGCCTTCGACTTCAAGTCTTTTGAGGAGCACGGCCAAATAATAAACATGTAACATTTCGCTACCAGGACCTGCTACGGCTGCCAATACCAGAACGAGCACGGCGGCAACAACAATGCGACGACGCAACAGAACACAGCATCACGACGACGCAGCACGACGACGCTGCACGACGACGCAGCACGACTCAGCAGACCGACGACGCAGCACGACGCAGCAAACCGACGACGCAGCACGTGCAGCATCACGCGGTAAGTGACGACTCCTGCGACGACAGCAGCACCGCACAATCCCAACTTGTCAGCCTCTCCTCGAGGTTCTTGGGGACGACGGAATGGATCATATCAGCTACGGATCCCAGCGACATGTCGGCGCTGACGGCTGGATTCGCCCTGAGAACAGAAGAACCACTGACGCCACGGCCGGATCCGCCTCGAAAGCCGAAGAACCGTTCACGTCCATATCTGATGATCGGCTGGACACCCACCTGGGCGACGACACCCAGCCACTACCAGGACGAGTACGGCAGCAACAGCACGACAACGCAGCACGACTCAGCACGAGCACGTGACGCAGCATGAGCAGCACGACTCAACACGACGCAGCACGAGCATCACGACTCAGAACAGACCGGCGACGCAGCACGACTAAGCAGTCCGACGACGCAGCACGGGCAGCATCACACGGTATGTGACGACTCCTGCACCGACAGCACCACTACCACCATCCCAGCCCGTCAACCTCTCGTCGTGGAGATCTGTGGGAAAGACGGAATGTGGAGCAACTAACTTCGGATCCCAGCTTTATACAGACTCTGACGGAGGCACTGCCCATGGATTCTGGGAGGAAGGTCCCGACGGGCACTTGGTGCGAACCATTCTGAATCAAGACGGCTCGAGCCCTGTCGTCACGGATGGATTCGCCTTGAGATCAGAAGAACCACTCACCTCCATGTTTGATGGTCGGCTAGACGCTCGTGGCGGTGGGGGCCAAGGAGGCAGCCGTACCACCCACCAAGCGGAAGCGCATGGAAGTCCAAATGGCCAACATCATGAGAGCCATTCTGGGGAAAGGGAAGCCACCCCGACGCCGGAAGAGGCCGCCCGAACCACCGCAGAGTGCACGACCTCCCAATGCCAACTCTGGCCAGAACAGCCTCTTGAGCATCCTCCAAAAAGCGATATCACAGGTGCCGCGCATTACGTCGGACGACGTGATCCTGGACAAATTGGAGGAGTTACTCACAACCAGACGCAATCAACCATCTACGCCGACTCAACCAACCCGCCGAAGACGTTGGGGGAACGACAAATCCGACCAATAACGACCCGACACTGACAAAACCAGGGACACCCAGACGCCAGCTCGACGTGGGAGGGTGGACGAACGACGATCCCCAGGCAAGTTCACTGGCGCGGCGCAGGTGTTGACAGCGCTCCGAGACGGTCAAGAGCCTAAAGGGGACGTGGTCGTTTTGAATAAGGTCCAGACCGCGGAGGCCACGGAACTCGCCTCGGCCCACGGAGTGACGAAGAGCCTCACGATCATTGTCTCCGACACGGACGGCAACAACACGACTCCAGCTGACGCCACTAACCCATCCCCATGGGTGCAGGTGGTGAAAGGAGGTCGGCCAAGCATGAAAAAGTTGACGTGCACCAACCTCCAAGGGAACAAGGCCACCGCGCCAAGCGTGGAGGTAGAAGGACCAGAGGCCCCTGTGATACGGGAAACCAACAAGGTGAGGGTAACGATGCAGAAAGAGTTCATGACCGACACGCAGTGGAAGGCGGCACGACAGAGGCGGGGAGCGGCTGCCACCAGTGATCTCGACAAAGACACCATCTTGGCGGCGGAAACCTTCTCAGAGGACTTGGAGGCCGGGAAGCTCGTGGCCATCACCGGCTACCTCACGGTCGCCTCCGACGAACTCAACAACGTATTGTCGAACAGCGGTGCTCATGGCAGGTTCTTCCAGGTCCTCGCCAAAGAGCGCACTACCCCTGACTCGCCAATGAGATGGATCAAATGCTGTGACGACTCCAGTTGGGCCTACTACACCCGGGTCCTGGACATGGTGAGCAAATCGAACAACGGTAATGTGGAACTACGGAATGGTGGGGGTAACAACCTTGGTGTCAACGGCCTTGAGGTTGACAACGCCGTGGCGACGCCTAACCGGCCGGCGGCGTGGCGGCTCCTCCATGTTCCTCGAACGTGGATGGCGAAGGAACTCAAGGCGTGACTGGTAGCAACCCAGTGGGCCGACGTGGAGGTGGTGTCTCCGCCGCGCACACGGAACGCGCCTTGGGTGGTACGAGCTAAACCCAAACGACCAAACTCCGACCAGGCTTGCGACGCATGGGCGATCACGCTCAAGGGACAGGAGCAACCCGTCCAGAGACAGGAGCAGCCCGTCCAGGGACAGGATCAACCCGTCCAGAAGCCGGTGCACAGACGACCCGACTAACGGAGACGAAAAGGCGGAGGTGGGACTCCAAGCAGCAAGCCGACGACGCACAAGGCGACCATCGTCGAATACCAGTGCCTGGTGCTGACGCCATGGACGTCGACCTCGGCGCCGAGTGCATCGCCGACCGCACGAAGAGGCAGGAGAAATACGAGCAGGAAGACAAGGACCTCGAGGCCATGGACGAGGATGCTTGAGCGGCAGAGCGCGCCAAGAGGATCGATGCCCGCGCTGCAGAAGATGCGGGGGGCAAGGAACGCATCAAACTGGCCAGACAACAGGCTACTGGTGCGGCTCCAACACAACAGCAGCAACAACTATGACTGCATCAACTGCCACAACAACGACTTCAACAACCACCACCGACGGCGCCTGCGAGTGGAGCTAACAAACGGAAAAACCCTTTTGAAGCAATCGACCCTGGCATCAACGGCGGCGACTGCGGCTACCGAGCTCTCGCGGCCAGTTGAGCGCTTCTTGGTGGCGTAGACAAGGCCACGCGTGACAACGCGCTCCAGCATGGGAAGCTGGAGCGAATGGCTAAGACCTTACGGACATAACTTGCGTTGCGCATCAGCGAGGACAGGTTTTACTATGAAAATGTCTGGAGCGATGTGCCGATGCGTGAGGACCACAAAGACGGGGCTGTGCCGACCAACTGGGACGAATATGTGATGGCTTGCAAAGGGAGCAAGCGATGGATTGACGGGCCGTGTTACCAAACAACCTGCGACCACTTTACCAAACATGTCTACACTGACACGGGTATTGTGGATACGATACAAAATTTTAAGTGGGTGGACAAGGTTACCTGGTTCCCAAGGGATGCTGCGAAAGCTCGGGCTGCTTTACTACAACCGGCCCTACACGTGGGCACCTGGAAGGGGCACTGTTACATCCTACTGCCAGACGACAGTGAACGACACAAGAAAGAAATCAAACGACCGAGCCAACAGCAAGTGCAGGACCGCATGCGCCAAACTCATCGTTTTGGAGGGCCCACGAGCCTGGCGAGCGAGGACTCTTGGCTGGGGCCCCTCGGGCGCGGCTCGGTGGCCAGGAGGGCACCTTCTAGCGCCCCTGACTCTTGGTTAGGGCCCCTGGGCAGGGCGCCGTCTACCCGACCAGCCGGGCGACGCCCTTCCGAAGCACCACCGACACCAGCACCGACGGCTGCTACGACCAAGCGACCGACAGGCAAACCGACCACGATATTCGTTACGACGACACGGAAGTGACAGCTCTTTACATTAGAGCTGGCGCACGCCTCGAAGAAGATCAGAACGCCGACGACACCACCTCCCGCGCCCAGCCGGCAGACGCCTCTACGACGGCCTGCGGCGGCTGCTCCCGCACCACTCCGGCTTTGCGCTGACTACACAGGCGCCCGGCGGTCCACAATCTACGTGCCAACCACTGGGAGTAAGAGGAACGGTAGAGGGAACAGAGAGGGAGCGGAAGGAGGAAATGCGGGACGAGGAGCAGATCACCCCCCTGTGGCTGTGACGGAACGCCTCACGTGGTGATGTGGGATCTGCCAAGTGGTTACCGCACCAGTCTGTACCAAAACCACGCGTACAGCTT